TATCCCCCCATGTTTTCACCTTCATTGTATTATCACCTGACCTAATGCGGGTATAAAATCAACTAGTATTGTAAGATCTGTTCACTTGAGAATGAACCATGGAGGTTCGAAACGTCGTGCAAATTATACAAATAAGTGTAATACACTCTATAGTAAATCACTTCTTTTCTTCACCTTAAAAGTACGAAAATGAGTTTTGGAGAACTCCTATTTCAATTAAGCCCTGATGCTAAGAAAATAGTTAGAGGGATAGAAGCCCTAAACCAGAAAATAATAAATACAGAATATGCGGTCATATTCAATGAAACATGTTTGAAAGAAAACCTGCTGCCAGTATACACCAATATATATATATATATATATATATATATATATATATATATATATATATAATTTCCGACACCACAATACGATCATTTATAATAAAAGAAGACAAATAAGGACTTTTTCCCTAAATATTTAAATCAAACTTTCCTGTACCGTGTTCCTTATTTTGAGCAAGTGGACCAAAAATAGCACACTTGCCACATCGCAAGTTCATTAGGAGCTTGCCATCTCAAGCTCCTCTCCAGAAGAGTGGTAATTAAGGCCTAAGAAAAGTACGTATCCCCTACGTCTTCGCATACTCGGTAAAACAAACCTAACATAGCCAGACGGATCCGAACCGAATTAAAATGGAAAACAAAATGTACATATAGTGTGCACGAGGTGTGTGGCGTCACTATAACGAAATAATGTTAATGCTAAAACGGGTTTTTGAGACTACAACCCCAGGAGGCATGAACACCCGTCATTCAGTCAGCACACACACACACCTCTGCTTGGCTCGGTGTTCCAGGCGGGCGCGGGGAATAGGGAGTCACATACCAAGAGACGCGCGGAGTGCGAACCGCCTTCCTCAGTCGTGGGCCCTGTGGTACATTGGTAAGAACACTGCCTGATGTATATAGTTATACTGACGCGACACAACGTACTCTCAGTATTCATCACAGTAGAGGAGGATATCAGTGTTACTCTCTAGGAAATGGTTCAGGAGACAACTTGTGTACCACACAGCTAGTGTGTACATCACATTCACCAACATTACTCCAAAATGCAAACGAAATTATCAAAGACATATAAATATATCTTTAACATTCCGCGAGCCCAACTAAGTCACCATGTAACGGAATCTAAAATATGTCGATCTCCCCGACAAGTCTCAGAAAGTCAAGTCTCAGACAAGTCAAGAAATTTTCATCCTACACTATATTCACAGTAAAGCAAGGAAGCACTTAACTTGCTCATGGTAGTCCTCCACCCATAATTCCCTCCTTATGTGAACCTTGTATTGCTAATTACCTTGTACTGTACTGTCTAAAAATATAATGCCATCATTAATATAATTTCACACCACCACCACTTTACCCTCGTACCAACATTATATACAGTGTTCTTTACCTACATTTGAACAGCAAGAACCATTCTTCATAACGCTCATGTCTCCACTAGTTCAAATTATTTCATATAAAGATGACTGTACTTGTATTAATTTATAACTCACTGGACGTTTTTAATATATATCACACACACACACACACACACACACACACACACACACACACACGAGGTCGGGGCCTCGTAGCCTGGTGGATAGCGCGCAGGATTCGTAATTCTGTGGTGCGGGTTCGATTCCCGCACGAGGCAGAAACAAATGGGCAAAGTTTCTTTCACCCTGAATGCCCCTGTTACCTAGCAGTAAATAGGTACCTGGGAGTTAGTCAGCCGTCACGGGCTGCTTCCTGGGGGGTGTGTGTGTGTGAAACAAAAAAAAAGTAGTTAGTAAACAGTTGATTTACAGTTGAGAGGCGGGCCGAAAGAGCAAAGCTCAACCCCCGTAAAAACACAACTAGTAAACACACACACACACAGACCTGCACTTACTCACTATACACACACCCTGGCCTACACTCACTATACACACACCCTGGCCTACACTCACTATAAACACACACCCTGGCCTACACTCACTATACACACACCCTGGCCTACACTCACTGTACACACACCCTGGCCTACACTCACTGTACACACACCCTGTCCTACACTCACTGTACACACACCCTGGCCTACACTCACTGTACACACACCCTGGCCTACACTCACTATACACACACCCTGGCCTACACTCACTGTACACACACACCCTGGCCTACACTCACTGTACACACACCCTGGCCTACACTCACTGTACACACACCCTGGCCTACACTCACTGTACACACACCCTGGCCTACACTCACTGTACACACACCCTGGCCTACACTCACTGTACACACACCCTGGCCTACACTCACTATACACACACCCTGGCCTACACTCACTGTACACACACCCTGGCCTACACTCACTATACACACACCCTGGCCTACACTCACTATAAACACACACCCTGGCCTACACTCACTATACACACACCCTGGCCTACACTCACTATACACACACCCTGGCCTACACACACCCTGGCCTACACTCACTATACACACACCCTGGCCTACACTCACTGTACACACACACCCTGGCCTACACTCACTGTACACACACCCTGGCCTACACTCACTGTACACACACCCTGGCCTACACTCACTGTACACACACCCTGGCCTACACTCGCTGTACACACACCCTGGCCTACACTCACTGTACACACACCCTGGCCTACACTCACTATACACACACCCTGGCCTACACTCACTGTACACACACCCTGGCCTACACTCACTATACACACACCCTGGCCTACACTCACTATAAACACACACCCTGGCCTACACTCACTATACACACACCCTGGCCTACACTCACTATACACACACCCTGGCCTACACACACCCTGGCCTACACTCACTATACACACACCCTGGCCTACACTCACTGTACACACACCCTGGCCTACACTCACTGTACACACACCCTGGCCTACACTCACTGTACACACACCCTGGCCTACACTCACTATACACACACCCTGGCCTACACTCACTGTACACACACACCCTGGCCTACACTCACTATAAACACACACCCTGGCCTACACTCACTATAAACACACACCCTGGCCTACACTCACTATAAACACACACCCTGGCCTACACTCACTATAAACACACACCCTGGCCTACACTCACTATACACACACACCCTGGCCTACACACACCCTGGCCTACAATCACTATAAACACACACCCTGGCCTACACTCACTATAAACACACACCCTGGCCTACACTCACTATAAACACACACCCTGGCCTACACTCACTATAAACACACACCCTGGCCTACACTCACTATAAACACACACCCTGGCCTACACTCACTATAAACACACACCCTGGCCTACACTCACTATACACACACACCCTGGCCTACACACACCCTGGCCTACAATCACTATAAACACACACCCTGGCCTACACTCACTATAAACACACACCCTGGCCTACACTCACTATAAACACACACCCTGGCCTACATGCAAGATGTCCCTGACCACAGCACCGAGGCTTCCGTTCTACTTTTATTTTGCACTGGTCACAACCTATGTCCTCGTACTGATGCACATTAGGTGAGTTGTGTGTGAGCTGATGACGTGTACGTTGCGTGTGTGTGCTGACGCTGTTGCACACACACACGTGGTGTGAGTGCTGGCGTTGTACATAGGCAAGTGGCGTGTGAGGCGATAAAGATGCAGTCATGTGTGTACTGACGCTGCTGTACATGTACACGCCGTGTGTACACTATGTTGTAACATCGGGTTAATTTATCCAGTCATCTACTAATCACAAATATCATAAAACCCTTCATTGATTTATTTTCTGTCTTTAGCTTAACTAGTTCTCATATATCACTTATACTTCTGCTTCCTCCTCCCGCCAAAAACTGGCGGGAGGCCTCCACTGGCCGCAGTGGAGGACGGGACGACACAATAAAAATCGATAATAAATCAAGTCAATACCAGCCAGTCATGAGTGTTTGTTATTCAATTTGGGGAATAACGGAAACATAAATAAAGTGTGATATTTATGTCAAAGAAGAATCAGTCACATATATAATCCCCATCGTCGGGAACACGAGGGCTCCCTTCGCCAGCTACTGACTAGAGGCATAAAGTGGAAGGAGAGTGCACAACCGTTTCTCTCCTGCCAGTGGATTGAACCAGTAGTCTACTTTACTTAGTAGAAGGCAGTTCTATGATGACAAAGGCCACTACAGTCTGGTCAGAATACAGGAGTCCCTGCGAAGGGCTACGAGACAGTTTACATGGCCACCTTATGCTCTGAGTCCACACACACTCCCCACTCCTGTCTCTTGGTGGAAAACACGCGTCTCAGTACCAAGGAGAGAAAGACACTCCGCCTGAGCCACCGGCCTGTTTCACACACTCAGACATTTTTATTTTTCGACGTCTCGGCTCCCAAGTCCCAACTCACTCGGTTTAGTTCCAGGATGTAAAAATATCGAGAGATTGCCGGAGCCCACATAAAAGGGGCCGAGTGTGTGTGTGCTCACATATGTGCCTTCAGGACGAACATTGGTTCCTGGGTCCCTCCCTTCATTTGACAGTCAGACATTGCAATGGATCTCATCCCTTTTAATTATTGTATCACATTTACGTTTAAAACTGTATATAGAAATGAGACACGAGTATCTCGAGAATATAAAATAAATGAGACAGATGTGACGACTTATAGTGAATTTTGTAACTAGCTCATCAAGATTGTAACTTGTTTCTCTAAATGAATTGTGGAGTTCAGTCCCTGAGCCCATTATGTGCCTCTGTAACCCTTTCCACTACCGCCGCCCACAAGATGGGTATGGGGTGCATAATAAATGAACTAAACTAACGGGTTTCTTGAGGAAATTAATGAAGATGCAAGAATCGAGTACATTAGTTACTCTGGTCGTCCATCTAATCCCACTACAGGCAGGGCCGGAGCAGCATACACTGTAGTTAGGAACAATGTCTTTCAAAACTAAAATGAAGGAAAAGCACGGATCGAGACCTATGGTTCAACACAAGCAGAACTCTCTGCCGTTGTTAAGACATGAAGACGCCTCAGAGAAACACAAGGGAAGCAGTGATCCCCACCGACTCAAAAGCAGCATTACAAAACCTTTAAATATCAGGCAGAAAAAAACAAAAGGACGACAATCACTGAAATCAAGAGCGCTGTGAAAATAATAACCAGTCAGTGAAGGATGATCAGGTCCCTGTGGATATCCTCTCAAAGAAATGAACGAGCTGATATGTTCGCGTCGCGCATGTCGATGACTGATGTGAGGTTGTTAGACCATACAGATGGTTGGGTGTACTCTGACCTGGCGTATGATATCAACCCGTTCTCGCAAATTTAATAAGTCAATATTGACTTATTAAATATGTGCATAGGTGACATACTTAACATAATAGTTTCTCTTGAAAAGCTTCATAGAAAACACCGACCTTACCTAACCTACTTAGTATGTTAAAATAAGCATCTTATAGCTTCGTAACTACAATTGTTACTTAACCTATTATAGGTATAGGTTATAGGTATAGGTTAGTTTCAAGGGAAACTATTATGTTAAGTATGTCACCTATGCACATATTTAATAAGTCAATATTGACTTATTAAATTTGCGAGAACGGGTTGTATGATAGCAGCCTACTGCGTCACTATTAGCGCATGCGCCCTCAAACTGCGCATCTTTCTCATTATAAATATATTGATGATCTTATATTTAATGCAACACTGATGATATCAATGATTTTTATATTTTGTTATACGCGAATATGTGTTAGTACGCGCTTTCGTTTTTTTCTTTCAGTCAGGACCACATCTACAGAGTTCAGGAGCCTGAGACTGACGGTAGGTTCAATTTATTTACTGTGAAGATAGTATACCGAGCAGGGGTGCGGCCTTATACTATACACAGCAGGGGGATACCTCAGAGTATACCCAGCAGGGGGGGGGGGAAGACCTCAGTATACCCAGCAGGGGGCAAAAACCTCATAGTATACCCCTAACCTTCGTTAAACGTTCTCTAACAAAAGAATGAAACTTTTGCAGGCCTACTGGGCCATACGAGGCAGGACCCATTTATACCTACCCAAACTCATTCATATACGTGTCTAACCAACGCTCGAAACAATCCAGCAATCCCACGTCTATTATGTCACCCTGTAATCTGTTACACAAACTCATCAACAATATTTCTAAACCAGTATTTACCCAGGTCTTCCCTGAATCCAAACTTATCCAATTGATAGCCATTGTTTCGTGTTCTATTTTGTGTCGACATTTAACACCTTATTGGTATCCCCCTTGTTATTAATAATCCTCTTGTTATACCCTTTCATACACATGTACACTTACTGATGGCCAGTCCACCGGACTCGACAACCACTTATGTAACATCTTAGCCTTAACATTTGCTCTTAATACTGGTGCGTCTTCTACTTATGTATTGATAAAGTAGTTTTTGCTTATGATCATGAAGGTAGTAACGTTAATGTCCACAGTATCGGAGGTGGAGAGAGAGAGGTGCGGCAAGAGGTGTCCCGTGGTGGGCCTGGAGACCATCGAGCAGTATAGAGCCTATCTCCACCACACAGAGACTAACTGCTCGACTCTAGTAAGTCTCCCATACTTGTTCGATGTTTTTTGTTGTGTCCTCGTGCTGTTGTGTGCAGTGTGTAACTCGACATTTGGGCGCCTGCTCTTTGTTTTTTGTTTATTTCAACATAGTCCCATGATGTCACCCTTGGCATTCAACAGTGTATTATTTAGTCAACATTGTTAGTGTTTACACCATCCATACACCGGGATCATCCCGGGCTTAAGTTCGAACCCTCATCACGGCCATTGTGGATTTGTTCATAGTGCTTACACTCCTAGGCTGAAAATTACCGGTGATTAATTTAAATAATCGAGGGCGGGACAGAAATAGTTGGGCATATTTCAAATCACCTAATGCGTCTGTTCACCTAACAGTAAGTAGATACTTAGAAGTTAGTCAGCTTGTTGTGGGGTTACATCCTGGGCGGGGTCAGTAATTCGACCTTGGGGGGGGGGACCTCGATATAAGCCTAACGTGTATGAATACACTCTGGCTGCCTGTCCCCCGACGCAATGAATTATTATTATATTTTTTTCCATCGTGACAACGGAGAATTTCATATGACCTAATTAATAAACATCATCTGGTGCAGACACGTTACATTAATTTGTAACATTTTATCATGTGAAATATTAGCTTGAAGTACTCGCTATATTTTCTGAAGCACCAGAATGCTCATTTATTGTGTCATATTTAAATGCAAGTTATAGCGAGTTAGCGGTGATATCGGGCAGCTTGTGGGACTGATTGTACCCGTGTAACACAGCGGTGATGCTGATTGTTCAAGTTTTATGTTCCCAGGTACAGTTTGGGGGCTGGGTACCCGCTCCCGGTGACGGAGCCAAATATGTGTGTCTGGACAAGAGGTTCAACATTAAGCCCGGCAACTGTACCGTCTTCTCCTTCGGTGTCAACAACGAGTGGTCCTTTGAGGACGATTTTGCCATATACGGCTGCAAGGTGAAGGTTGATGACGGTTATATCTAAAGTGTTACATTGTTTTATTTGCATAAAGTAATGATGACTCAAGTTGGTGCTAGGTATGAATTACTAGTATTTTCTGAAAGGTTAGTAGGGAGGAGGAGCTAGGTAGAAACCTAGCTTGATAGAAATTTATTCGACTATGCCATCCAGCTCTTGCCTCTACTGCACCTCACGCCCTTCACACTGGTTACCTATGACATCAGGTTAATGTTAACATTAACTTTTAAAAAATATGTCTATAATGTAAACACACTTGTGAGAAATTAAGTCAGTCATTAACCCTTTAATGATTCTTGGGTGGAATATTTTCATGTCCATCAACGTCACTCGCTCTGTCATAACCACAAAAAACTAACTTATTTTATATTGTTAGAAGCATCGATTATAGCCTACAAATATTCGGAAATTAATAAAATGAATAACCAATGTAGAGTGTCTCGCTAGCATTACGCGTCTTTCCCGAGCGTGGAAACTATTTGGAGCTATTTGACAAACTAGCTAGCCTAACATATTTGATCGATGGTAGCCTTCCATTCAGGGTTGACAGGTTTACCGACTTTTTTGTGGGGGTTGACAGGTGTACGCATTCGACCCCACCATGGGTAAGGAGGATCACCAACGGTCCGCCAACGTTCGCTTCCAGGCCGTGGGCATCGCTAACTACAAGGGTACAATGAAGATTGGTATGGACTTCAGTTACGCTATTCAAAAGGTGAGTTGAACTCTTGATTTACTTAACTCACTAGCAATATTCATGATTAAAATTACATATTTTTAAAGGGCAGGATAACTATGGGAATAAATTGCTAGTTAAATGTAATCAATATAACGAGGATGATTTATTAAGATCTGAAGAGATAAATTTTGCCATTCATTTTTTTTAAATATGAAGCAGATTTCTTGATTCATCTATCATTTTGGTCCTATAATTAACAGTATCGGTACAACTGTGAGATGCATGAAAATTATTCTGGAGTAATGGCTACTATGTATGCCTCTAATCCCTTACCCTAAACTTCTCTTGTTAATCCCATTCCTTACCTTCCTCGCCCCCTGTCCCACATATCCACGCTGCTAAAGATTACCGGCACAAAAAGAATAACTCTCGTGCCAAAACTTCGGAGTGTACCTGACCAGCACCGTGCTGGCAATGAGCACCGACCAGGGTGAAGATGGTGTGTGGTGGCTTGGCCCAATCCGTCCTCCACTCTAGTCCATTACATCCAGCGGTCGACCCCACGGACGCATTCATAAAATTTAACATGCTGTTCATTCAAAACGGGAATTTTCTCAAACATAAATTAATATTATAATATATTAGCATATTGTGCATATATAGGCATAGGTTACGTTAGGTGTTTAGGTTCTGTTGGCGATTATTTGTATTTGTAGTACGTGTATGAAGCATTTACAGCGTTGTGGTTCGAACAAAATTCGTCAGTGAAGCACTTGTTCCGGAAGTGTTCGAATGAAATCAGTTGTGAGTCGTGTGTAAACGGTTTTTCATTCATAAACAGGGGGTTTGACGGGTGCATGGAATCTCTTTTGGGTCTTTGTTTGGAGGACGGGCTGCTTTACCTGAGACTTGCTCAACAAACTAGGATTTGATGTCAGGATTTATTCAGATTTCCATTACAAAAGCTTCGAGATCCTGGATAATCAACTAGTATTTCAAAGTAAAATAATATTTAACTTTCTCGGCCACAGGCGGTTCGCACAGAGAACTTAGTGAGCCAAGCGTTACTTGTATTAAAGGATTATTCCGCCATCTCTTCTCAGGTGGACCGCTTCGAGAACTTGGTGAACCAGCTGGGACTCGCGGGTCAGGTGATCGACTACGTGAAGCTAGACGTGGAGCTGTCGGAGGTGGACTTCCTGCAGGATATGCTCCTTAACTCTCCACACGTCCTCAGGAACATCAAGCAGATCGCTATGGAAGTTCATGATGACTATTTCGAAGGTTAGTTTTCTTAATTTTGCACATGTGCCGCATTTTATTGATACTAATCAAGATCTTGCAACAGGTAATGTTATTCATATAAAACGTGTAAATTACATATACACCTATAACGTGAGTGCTGCAATTATTAAATTTAGTTTAACCAAGAGTTTTACAAAATGTCATTTTAAGAGATAAATTTATTAAGATGTGTTTGGCAAGTGAGCTTGTCTGAACTTGTCACCGTTATCAGTGTTCCCTACTTAAGTCTTTGCCGTCAAGCCCGAGGGCGACAACCCTACACACTTGCTATATTAACTTTATTATGCTACTCTGTAAATGATTTGACTACAGACCGAATTTGTCTACAAATATTTAGGTACACTTTTAGGGTCTGCATTGTGTTGGTGGCGACGGAGAGTCGGCAGGGTAGTTATCTTGATGATTTCGGGGCTTTTTAGTGTCTCCGCGGCCCGGTCCTCGACCAGGCCTCCACCCCCAGGAAGCAGCCCATGACAGCTGACTAACACCCAGGTACCTATTTTACTGCTAGGTAACAGGGGCATAGGGTGAAAGAAACTCTGCCCAATGTTTCTCGCCGGCGCCTGGGATCGAACCCAGGACCACAGGATCACAAGTCCAGCGTGCTGTCCGCTCGGCTCCCTTGTCACCGGGTGACAAGGGGAAGGGAGGTACCCGGTAGGGTGTAGTCTGCATTGTGCAGGTGGCGACGGAGAGTCTGCTGTGCAGCGGGAGCAATAGACGTGGTTGATGAATCTGATGAAGAAGTACGGGATGTCACCCTCATCTGTTGGAGTCACAGATGAGGCAAAGTGGAAGGCAGCGGTTCACGCCAAGGAGACAAAGTGTGATACAGTAGAGGTGGTGGAAGTCCAGTGAGCGGCCATTTTGTAACTTGTCCGTTCTGTTATGGACAATGTTCAGGACTAAAGTACTACTTGCCGATACGTCAGTACGCTATTATGGTGGCCTTAATATGCTTGCAAACGTTTATAAGCCTTAAACCCAACACTAAACGAACATGAGCAGAAAGACACTATGATTTAAGTCAGGCAGATTTAAAGAGGATTGTAGTGGGGAGTGCGCGAAGGAACTGTAAAAAACTGAGTTTCGAAGCGACGTAAAAATTATGATAAATGAAAAAAGATATCCCACTAAGGAATTCTCTACTGGCTGATGGATCACGTACAAATGGCTCCTTTAGCAGGAGCATCTGCTAGACCATTGGAGACAACACCAACACTGTTAGATCACAACAGAAATCAACCACCTTATTTCTACTAAAGATTTAAATATATAATTTAACTGGTAAACTCTGGTTCAGAAATAGGGCTCCCATCTCAAATCCTTATCCATACCCCTTCCAAGTGCTATATAGTCGTAATTTCTTGACGTTTTCCCTTGATAATTCCCTCTCTTCCCCTTGGAAATAAGGCTACAAGCGTATGAAATAGTCTGTCAAGTAACATGGCAGATGCAAATTCGCTGTAAAGTTTCAATCATTGTTTAGGCGAACACGTGGGAGCGAATGATTGGTTATAATTTGGAGCTACCTCGTACCTACTAATAGGCCTTTTTTAGTCATTGATTTGTTGTTATATACGTTCTATTGCGCCCGTAAACACTACCGTGAAACCAAGCAATATTGTTTTATATGACTCCTTGAAAGTAATCAGTATTGTATTATTCACAATATTATTATATAGTAAAATGAAGTTTCTTGAATCATTTTGTTTTTTTGCAGGAGACCTGAGCCAGACGAGCAAACAGCAGGTGTTCTGGCCCTACTTCATGCTGCTCAAGTGTCAAGACTTCCGACTGGTCCATTCCCGAACTAATCATGGACGGTGGCGGGAGGTGGTGTGGGCCCGGTAGGTCGACTGGTAGGCCCCGTCCTCCAGCGAGAGGTGGTGTGGGCCCGGGAGGTCGACTGGTAGCCCCCGTCCTCCAGCGGGAGGTGGTGTGGGCCCGGGAGATCGACTGGTAGGCCCCGTCCACCAGCGGGAGGTGGTGTGGGCCCGGGAGGTCGACTGGTAGCCCCCGTCCTCCAGCGGGAGGTGGTGTGGGCCCGGGAGATCGACTGGTAGCCCCCGTCCTCCAGCGGGAGGTGGTGTGGACCCGGGAGGTCGACTGGTAGGCCCCGTCCACCAGCGAGATGTGGTGTGGGCCCGGGAGGTCGACTGGTAGGCCCCGTCCACCAGCGAGAGGTGGTGTGGGCCCGGGAGATCGACTGGTAGCCCCCGTCCTCCAGCGGGAGGTGGTGTGGGCCCGGGAGGTCAACTGGTAGCCCCCGTCCTCCAGCAGGAGGTGGTGTGGGCCCGTTAGGTCAACTGGTAGGCCCCGTCCTCCAGCAGGAGGTGGTGTGGGCCCGGTAGGTCAACTGGTAGCCCCCGTCCTCCAGCAGGAGGTGGTGTGGGCCCGGGAGGTCGACTGGTAGTCCCCGTCCTCCAGCGGGAGATGGTGTGGGCCCGGGAGATCGACTGGTAGCCCCCGTCCTCCAGCGGGAGGTGGTGTGGCCCCGAGAGGTCGACTGGTAGCCCCCGTTCTCCAGCGGGAGGTGGTGTGGGCCCGGGAGGTCGACTGGTAGCCTCCGTCCTCGAGCAGGTGGTGGTGTGGGCCCCGGGAGGTCGACTGGTAGCCCCCGTTCTCCAGCGGGAGGTGGTGTGGGCCTTGGAGATCGACTGGTAGCCCCCGTCCTCCAGCGGGAGGTGGTGTGGCCCCGAGAGGTCGACTGGTAGCCCCCGTCCTCCAGCGGGAGGTGGTGTGGGCCCGGGAGGTCAACTGGTAGCCCCCGTCCTCCAGCAGGTGGTGGTGTGGGCCCGGTAGGTCCACTGGTAGCCCCCGTCCTCCAGCAGGAGGTGGTGTGGGCCCGGGAGGTCGACTGGTAGCCCCCGTCCTCGAGCAGGTGGTGGTGTGGGCCCGGGAGGTCGACTGGTAGCCCCCGTCCTCGAGCAGGTGGTGGTGTGGGCCCCGGGAGGTCGACTGGTAGCCCCCGTCCTCGAGCGGGTGGTGGTGTGGGCCCGGGAGGTCGACTGGTAGCCCCCGTCCTCGAGCCGGTGGTGGTGTGGGCCCCGGGAGGTCGACTGGTAGCCCCCGTCCTCGAGCAGGTGGTGGTGTGGGCCCGGGAGGTCGACTGGTAGCCCCCGTCCTCGAGCAGGTGGTGGTGTGGGCCCGGGAGGTCGACTGGTAGCCCCCGTCCTCGAGCAGGTGGTGGTGTGGGCCCCGGGAGGTCGACTGGTAGCCCCCGTCCTCGAGCAGGTGGTGGTGTGGGCCCGGGAGGTCGACTGATAGCCCCCGTCCTCGAGCAGGTGGTGGTGTGGGCCCCGGGAGGTCGACTGGTAGCCCCCGTCCTCGAGCAGGTGGTGGTGTGGGCCCCGGGAGGTCGACTGGTAGCCCCCGTCCTCCAGCGGGAGGTGGTGTGGGCCCCGGGAGGTCGACTGGTAGCCTCCGTCCTCCAGCGGGAGGTGGTGTGGGCCCGGAAGCAACGTCACAGAATTATCTCTGGCAGTTCGGCTTGTATTGGGATCTAAATGAAGTGTAAAGTGTGTGGACAAAGACAGGGACACACACACTCGAACACTATATCTTGGATTGTAGTAAAATTGAGTCATTTAGAGATAAATCTAAGCTCACGCTGTTTGATATGGCAACCTCTCTTATTACAAAGTTTAAAATACCTGAAATCTTTGCGCTGTATCCATATTTCACTTCCAGTAGATAAATGACATGTGAGATTAAGAAACTCAGTATTGTGAAGACTAATAATAAACAGCAGCTCCCCTATGACTGTAATGTCTCCATTGATCAAACAATTATGTATTAGCGATAAGACCTACCATTAATGTATAATGACTTACTGTAAATATATAGCTCTTGAAATAAAACATTCTCTGTAACTAGCTGACATGTAACTATAAGGTGTGAAGGATAGATGAAATTGTTTATGTAATAATCTAAGATGAGGTCTGATAAAGACCTTTTGTGCCCTCTGTAATGCTTTTTGCGCTACCGCTCACAGGATGAGTATGGGGTGCACAATAAACTAGTCGCCTCCGGCGGCAACAATCAAAGAATCATCTAACGTCTGTGAATAAGTTGTGTACATTTTAAAACACGAATCTTGGTGTGGTTAGCACTAGCCGCCCACAGCACATATATTGGAAAAATTGTCTTTACCGCATGGTTGAGTTTTCAAATGTCGCACTGCACCAAAAGTCTGTAGTACAGGTTCAATAATTGGACTAACAAATTTGTTTAGTTCCCGAAATTTGTATTTATTAGCATATTAGACTGCATACTAGATATTGTATCACTCACAGGAGTAATAAAGCATCTAGGTTTAATTTACTACTTTCTAATTATGCACTATGTAGTAGTAGTAATAATAATAATAATAATTTATTCACAAAAAGGTACAATGAGTTGGTGAAGGAAGGGAACTATCAGGAGAGAGCGCCAAGCCATTACGACTATATAGCACTTGGAAGGGGTCAGGATTAGGATTTAGGATGGGACGGGGGGAAAGGCTCAACCACTTGGACGGTCGGGGATTGAACGCCGACCTGCAAGGAGCGAGACCGTCGCTCTACCGAATGAGTTGGTGAGATTACATAAGATTGGTATTTTTACATTCTTGCAAAGCCACTAACACGCAAAGCGTTTCGGAGAGGTGTTTAATCTAACTTATCAGATAAGATGAAAGGGTACATTGTAGCAAGATTTTATGTCAACAAATATAAACTGACAGAGGTGAATACACTGGTAAAGATATATGCATTAAGTACTAATATTGGGGAAGTGGATAATACAAGATACAGTGTGAGTTGAAGCACAATGTAGGAAACCATGAAGATGAAATTAGGTACTTTACTGTTACAAATTAGGTACTGTAATTACAGATAGATCCTTACAAAAGTGTAATTAGACAAGAACTTTTAGATGAATTTAAAGTAGAACAGTGCAAACTGGAGTTAGCAGATACATCAGATAGCAGATAGCAGTTCATCACAATGAAATGTGTCAAGTAAAACATGTATATGGGGCACGTAGCAACATCAGCAGACTAACAAACGTTATCACAGATCAATAAGACTTGGCTACATGTATCTCTGGCAGTATGTCTGAAGTAAAGTGTATAGTGTGTGGACAAAGACACACACACTAGAACATTGCATTTTAGACTGTGAAAAATGTATTCATTTTAGAGATAAATCTAAACTCTCACCGCATGAAATGGCAAACCATCTTATTACAAATTTTTATTTTTTTATTTTTTTTTATTTTTACATGCAAGCATGCGTATAACGTACAAGAAAAACAGAACAAATAGAACATAGAACAAAAGTACAAAGCACACATATGTACAAGGACAAAGGAACAAATCAATAGAAGACCAGCCAGAAGGGCTGACCACAAAAAAATGCATATACAAACAATACACAATTAGTAACACAGTGTAATACAAACATAAGGGAAAACCCCAGGACAAAATGCACACAAAACAAGCCTGCTAACACCTCAAATACATACAGAGAGGCGAGAAACATACAAGAATAAGGACAATAACAATAAAGAAAACAGATCCGCCATAACAAACGGAAGGCAAAACATAACAAAAGCACACGCCAACAGCCAGAAGGGCACACAATATGACAAACAAGCGCACACGACATCCATAACCGAACACACAAACGCATAGGAACCGCACACCCCCCCACGAGCCATACAAAAAAACCCACAAAACAAACCGGAGCACGCAGGAACCGGGAAACAATACCCACCCCACCCACTCACATACACACCCCACAACCAGGCAACACAAAATACATAGAAATCACTTGCGAGGAACCTCGTGAGAAATGTACTTCTCCGGGAACTGCTCACGAGGATATTTCGACTTGTAAGCTTCCCAGACGAGATCTTCAAGGTCGGTAGGGTTTTTGATCCCCCGCGCTCGAGTGGGTATCATAAACTCGGGAACATCTATATCTGGCGGCATCGGCCAAAGCCTAAGGTCACTGACGCAAGTCGCATAACGAGGCTGGGGAGCGCCAACCACGCCCTTCGAGGAAGCAGATGACACCGGAGAAGCGGACGAGGGACGCCGAGCCTGCCACGCCTTCGCCATCGGAGCAGGTGTCGGACGCTGAGACGACAGCACTTCCACGGATACCGCAGGAGACACGGAAGGGACTGCAGGAAACGGAAGAGGCGGCAAGACCGCTGCCGAGGAAACGGGTAACGAGGAAGGGGCCACAGAACATCCAGAGCGAGCATCCTTTCTCAACATCACCACCAGGCCACCCCGCTCACCACCAACTACAGCAGGGGGAACCACCGCCCACGAAGAACCGGAGCCATCCGACGCAGGACCCTCGGACACCGGACCAGAGGTTGAGGCCGAAACGCCGGCACCGGCATCCTCAGGCAAGTGTACCTCCGCCACCACCGTAGTGTGCACCACATCCGGAGCCACGCCACCGTCAACGGAAGGACGACACTCGTCGAATTCGCCAACATCAGCCCACACAGAAGAACGCCGGGAACGCTTAGGCTCGGGCCGCACATCATCAGACCCGGAGGCAGACTCAGCGACCCGCGCAGCACCAACCGAGCGAACCGACGCACGCCGCAGCACGGCAGCCTCCTCAACCACACGGGGCACCAGGCCAGGCACAGGAGGGAATTCCGGATCCACCTCAGCTCCCAGCACAGCCGGGACAGACGGCGAGGGTGCTGGGACCGGGACAGACACAGCAGAGGAAGAACTGGAAGACGAGGGGACCGAGCAAACGGCAGGCGGAAGAGGCTCAGGGACACCAGCTGGAGCACTAGGCGAGGACACAACCTCCGGAGGAGATGCGGCAACAACAGGGGGCGCAACAGGCGGAGCAACAGCTGCTACAGAGGGCACCTCCTCAGCCGAAGAGACGTCCATACCCACCGAATCATCCCCCACAGGAAGGGGCGGAAAATCCTCCTCACTGAAGAGGTTCACTGGTGCAACAGGAGGCGCAGAACAGTCAGCAGCCTGATGGCCCAAAAGACCACAACGATAACACGTCCGCGGCTGACGGGCGTAAAACACCCGAACGTTGAACCCCATAAGGCGCACAGAGGACGGAATATCCGCCCGGAGTCTCATGCCCAGGGTGCGAATGTTAGACCTCACACCCTTAAGAGGACTAGAAGACACCACGTTCACTCTCACACTAACAACTGCGCCAAACCGCCCGAAATACCGCCGTAGCAGAGCCTCTGGAAACTCCAAGGGAGCCCCATGCACACTGATGAAAGTAAGTGCACCACTTCTATCCGAGAGGGTGACAGTGCCCGCACCATCCGGCAGGGGCAGTGTCCGCCCCTCGTATCGCCGGAGAAAATCGCGATACGCCGCCTCCTCTGCAAACTTCACAATGGCCCTACGGGCCGTTACCAACTCTACCCCATAAATCGCAAACACAGGGACAGAGAGCAGTTCACAAGCCAGGGCAATCTCCGGGTAACCAGCCCGCACAGAGAACTCTAGTCCCACAGACTGAGCCCGGACGACTGGGGGTAGAGGGACCCCCATCGTAACGCCACGTCAGCACAGGCGAGCAGACACACACCCGCCCCCAACCGGCCGAAACGGGCAAACAACACCAAACTGCTGGAGCGCCGATTCAACACGTCTGCCCCGCACCGAAGCTAGGGCCAGAGTACCCGACGTCTCGAGCAAGGGGAACCTTTTATTGTCAATCCCCCTTTCGTCGCTGAACCCGATCTCGACGGACTGACGGTTCTTAAGGTGGCGTTTGTGGGGCGTATACTCACGACGCACCCCTAGGGGGCCCCGGCATGATCAGCGATAGCTTCCTGTTGGGTGTCCTGCCTCTAATTGTGGCTCCATGGTGGGTATGGGGGCACATTCGTGGATGAATTTGTCACTTTTCGTCTCTATGTCGTTGAATGTTTCCGTTGTACCCTCTCAGGCTCGTGGGGTGGGCGACCAAGCCCCCGAGTCGGCCTGTATTGGAAGACCAGGCTCTGTAGCTCCCGCTGCGTTGGGCCCCGACCTTGCTCCTCCTTTGACCGTCCTGACTTCTTCCCCCAGCTCCCCTCCCTCCTCTGAGGTTGGGTCGAGCCTCCAGCCCCCGGTGGTGACCGCTTCGTCCCCTGGTGTGGCTAAGTCTTTCGTTGTGACTACTGCGCCTTTTGACCCCTCTCTCTCTAGGGGTTCTCAACGCCGTTCGCGCCCCAACCGCACTCGCTCGATTCCTTCCCGTGCTGATGCGTATCAGGCCTTGTTTGGTCCTGCTTCATGGGCCAAATACTTTGATCTCCTCCCTCTTGATTCTGCGCCTCCTGACGATTTCTCCCTCCATCGGCATCTTGTAGATTCCGTGGATGCGTGTGTTACTTTCAACCCCACTCGTCTCGGTACACGTGTCGTTGCTGCTCCTTCTCAGGATGCGGCTTCCCGCTTGGCTGCCTTATCTTGCCTTGGCGAGATCCCTGTTCGGGTCTCCAAGAACGTTCAGATGAATTCCAGTGTTGGCACTATTCTCCTCCCACCCCATGTTGCAACCGGTGTTCGGAATCTGCAGGATTGCCACGATGATATTCGGCATATCCTTGATGCCCAAGGCCATTCTGTCCTCCAGGTTGACTCGTTTACTCGTCCCCCTCGTGGTCGTCGCCGTCAACCCCTTCGCGTTGTGAAGATCACCTTTGATGGTAGGACCCTTCCATCCTCTGTCATTCTTGCTGGTGCTAGGTGCTCTGTCCAGGAGTATATTCCTTCTCCTCGAC